GGTGGTGGCAGTCGCTGTGTGTTCCCGGTGCGCTGTTCTTCCGTCTCGTTCCGTGTGTCTGTGTGCGTGAGTTGTTGTTGTGGGGAGTGACTGCGGCGGGGATGATGGTGCCACTCACTGTGGATGGCGGTGCTTATTCTTTCACCCATATTTATTACCTCGTTTTCTCTTTCACTTTCTTACGAAGAAAGCAAACAAGCGCTAAACGCTACTGCGAAATTCAGAGTTTTTGAAAGGACCAACAACGCACAGACCGCCCACACACACATATTGATATGCTCTCACGTGTTGCTGCAGTGAAGGCACCCCGCACACACAACCGTCGCCGCATGACCGGATCCAGCGGAAGGAGGAGGGAAGGAAGAGAGAGTGAGCCGCAGAGGCCCAACATGTCCTGGCGTGTGTTTGCTTCCGCGGTGCTGCTCCTCCTCGTCGTGATGATGTGCTGCGGCACTGGTGAAGCCACAGCCACTGATAAGGGGAATTTGCGGAGGACAGGTCTGAGATATCCACCAAAGCCATATTTTGTCTGGAGAGATAAAAATGAAGAAAAAACAGTGAGTTCTTTACGTGTTCCAGTTCTTGTTGAGGTGAATGGTGATGTGTTTGCTGTTGCCGAGGCGCAGTGCACGGAAGCCAGTAACAGCGGTTTTGCTGGGATTGCCTCGGAGCTCCTGGAGTGGACCGATAAAGAATCAAAAGAATTGGATACAACTAAACTGAAGACACAAGTACTGGAGGAATGTCAGTTTGAAAGAGGGAAGTGTACTTCCCCAAAAGGAGCTCAGGATGCTGTTTCCCAAAGTGACACGAAAGTACATGTGAGCCGACCAACAACAGTTGTGAATGGGAGTGTTATTTACATGCTTGCCGGAACCTACAGTTTTGAAGTGACTGAAGCAGCTGGTAGCACAGCTGCAGCAGCTAAATGGGGACTTTTGGTGGCTGTGGGAAACGTCAGTAATGATGGGAGCAGCGGTAAAAAAATTTATTGGAAAGACACTTCCGTTATCCCGTGGACTGGTTTTGAAAAACAACACGAATCCTTGACAGGGCTGATTGGCGGCGGTGGATCGGGTGTTAATATAAATGACGGTACGATTTTGTTCCCAGTGGAAGGGACGAAGAAGGATGGAAAGGCCGTTTCGCTGATCATATGCTACTCAGTCACTGAGGGTGGGAAGCTGTCGAAGGGGATGTCTGCCGACGGCTGCAGTGATCCCTCCGTTGCGGAGTGGAAGGGAAAACTCATGATGATGACTGCGTGCGATGACGGCCGCCGCAGGGTGTACGAGTCCGGTGACAAGGGGGATTCGTGGACGGAGGCCCTCGGAACACTCTCGCGCGTGTGGGGCAACAACCAAAAGCGACATGAGAAGGGCGTTGGAAGCGGGTTCATCACAGCGACGATTGAGAACAGGGACGTGATGCTCGTTACTCTGCCGGCGCATTCAAGGAGAAAGGGAAAAGAAAAGCGTGAACTTCATCTTTGGCTGACGGACAATACGCACATTGTTGATATTGGGTCGGTGTCCGGTGATGATGACGCTGCCGCCAGCTCCCTGCTGTACAAAAGTGCTGGAAGTGGACATAATAATAATGAGGAGTTGATTGCACTGTACGAGAAGAAGAAGGGCGATGGGGAACCATCACTCGGTGTGGTCTCTGTGCGTCTGACTGCGCAGCTGAAGCGGGTGAAGGAGGTGCTGGCGACCTGGAAGAAAGTGGACGAACGTGTCTCCAAGCTGTGCCTCACTTCACGTGCTGCGAAGAATCCCTCAGCTGGCAATGGCTGCAGCGCTGTTAAGACCGCGGATGGGCTGGTT